CTCAATGAAACACTACTGGGAGTATTTGTGTGAGTAGAGGTAAGGATGCGTGTATGTGTTTGCAGGATCGGAACCAAAATGTGTGTCTCCCTAAATGGTTCATTAAGCAGACAGTCTAATGTTCCCTGGGTCATTTAAAATGCTGGAGAAACAAGGGCCAGGTTCTTGGTCCCAGCCCTGGCAGTGTTGCTCTGCTCCAGCACCTTGAAGTGGTTGAAAAGTTGCCCCAGCAGGTGTGGGGAGGATTTCCCCTGGGAGAAGGAAATAACCTGCTTCTACACCCTCCACATAGGGGTTGTGTGGGAATAGGACAAAGTGAAGAACACCTCAGCCAGCATCACAGTCCCTCTAGAACCACGACAGCTGATGTCATTTCAAGCAGCACTAATTTCAGCTGCTCTAAGTTACACCAGCCCAGGATCACTGGCATGGAAAAGTGGCTTAGAGGCACTTTCCCCTCCCTACTCCAAACTCCCCTGAGCTGGGCCAAATTTACTGTCAGCCCAGCTGAGGCTCTGGCCTCTGATGTTTAGACAATCTCTAATATAAAGAACACCAGGCTTCTTTCCTTCAGCTCCTGTTGGATTCCAGCCTTGCAAACCAGAAGCCAATTTTTCATAAGGCAACACCTTAAAACAAATATATTCCAGAAATACTTTCTCATTCAAGGTGAGATTGGCATGTCTCCCATTGTACAAATCAACACTTCTAATTATTGTTCCTTCACGGTGAAACCCAGGGTAGCAGTCACCTGCTAAATATGGTCACTAGTTCTAATGGCCAGCAAGATGATTTCCATCCCAGATTTCCTTCACATTGGGATCAGTATTAACTCTTCCCTCCACCCACTATACAGCTGGGGCAGGGGGGAAGAGGACCCTAGGGGAAAGGCTCTATTTCTTCTTACTAACACCTCCCCCTTTTTACAATGTAACACTCTGAAGATGTGATACTGCTGAAAATACCAGTATAGACAGGCCTGATCTAATGGAAACCAATGGAAAGACCTTCACTGACTTCAGTGGGATTTGGATCAGGCCCACCAAGCCTAAGGATTTTGCTTCTTCAAATTTTTCCTTATAACCCGGTTCTTCCAAACATTCTCGTTCTCACCAAACAATTTCCTGACACACCTCGCCAGCACTCTGCCTGACCTGGCCTGTGTCCATGGGGTTTGTTTTTATTTGCCTCATTTATCTCTGCTGCCAGTAGTTTGGGGCACAGAATGCATCACCCTCTCTGGTTTGTACATGCCATGTACATGTTTTGTATGTATAAGGAATAACAACATAACTCTGTTAGTTAGCTGGAGTGGAGTAAGGGCCTTCCTTAACAGGGAAGAATTCCTACTTAGTCCTTACTGGGAAGACATTGGCCTTCTGTGCAAGGACAAGAACAAATAATAGAAATAATCACTTGAAGTAATAGATCATTTCTCTCTTGAGCCCTCTCCCTTCAGCGGCCCCATGCTACAGTGAGACTTAGGGGATGTCTACACTGCAGTTAGACACCTGCGGCTGGCCCGTGCCAGCTGACTCAGACTCGCAGGGCTCGGGCTAAAGGGCTGTTTAATTGAGGTTCAGACGTTCTGGCTAGAGCTGGAGTCCGGGCTCTAGGACTCTGTGAGGGGGGAGTTGTCCCAAAGCTTGGGCTCCAGCCCAAGCCAGAACATCTACACCACAATGAAACAGCCCTGCGAGCCCACGTCAGCTGGCCCGGACCAGCCGCGGGTGTCTAACCGCAGTGTAGGCGTTAGAGATATGAACAATAGCACTGAGCCCAAAGGCCAGCCTGTGAGTGTGCCTTTCAGGGGAGGTCCCAAGGAACTTTCTCTCCCATTTGTATGGCCTACAAAGGCCAAGGAGAACACAGGCACTGTTCCCTCCATGCTCTCCTAGAGGCACATAGCATCCCAAAGCATGTGGAGGAAGTCAAGGGGGCAGCACCATGGCTATTTCCACCATTTGCAGTGGTCCACAGAGCAAGTGTATATTGCAGTTCCCCCTGCAGGGATGCAAGCGCAAGGTGCACTCCAGCGGCATGCTGTGGGGCTCAGAGAGGCAGCTGGAGGGGTGCAACTCGGCACAGGACTGCACCTTAAAGATACAATTGAGCCCAAAGAGATGGCTGGGGTAAATAAAGGTTTGCAGGTTCAGGTTTGCAAAAAGCCCCAGATGCACGGAGTATCGGAATGATATCGGGACATCCTGCTTTTCTACTCACTGCCTCGAGATTGTGATGTTATTGCCTGTGACAGAATAACATACTTTAACAGCTGGAAGTCTTGTCACCAGTCTACTCTTGCCCTAGCATCCTCCTGCTGTCTCATTGTTGAGATGCATTGAAACGCGCAGTGAAGAGACAGTGGCACAGAGTTAGGGTGGGAACTCAGAGGAGAACAAAGCTGTACTGCAGCAGCAAAGGCTCCACTACGGAACACGAAATTAAAAAAAAAATTCTTGCCCTTGATTAAAGAATAAGTAGCGAGCGGCTACGCTTTGGCGACTTTTCATTTCGTTTTGTTGTGAATATGCTCTTTTGAGAGCTAAGCTGCAGCCTCTTGCGAGGGTAGCCCCTGACTGCTGCCCCGTACATAGCTGTAGGCATTCCTGACGGACAGTGCAGGCTCTCAGTGTCCCAGGGCTGCAATCCAAAGAACAGTCTCTTTATACTGAGTTGCAGGGTGAAATCCAGGGGCGCCTGAGTAAGCAAGGCTTTCAGATGCAGTGTACACAAGTTGTTTGTGGCACACCCACTCAACACCCCACTTTCTAACTTCACCTCAAACAGACTAGCATCAGTCAGGGAGGGGGGTGGTTAATACATTACATTATAGAAAGAAAAAAAATACATGGCAAAATTAAATTGCATATTCTTAAAGTTCTAGGGATGACATCTGAAATGTACTGTAACTCTATAACCTGGTACTGTCCGTTTTTAGTAGAAACAAGTACATTTTGTGGCAAGCACAGAGCTCTGGGGATGTCTGAGAAAAATATCTCTCTGCAGTGTCTTCTTTATCGGCAATGTGGTCACTCATTCATTCATACGTTATCAGCTGCTGTTGGATTTCAGGATGTGGCCAGGTCTTTCAAACTTAAAAATCAACTATTTATACTAATTCTTTTCTGCATAGTGTCCACCATTGTATTAAGAGTGCTCTGGTTACACCATTTCAAATAGGTCTATGAAAAAAAATAGCAAATCTAGCCAGCAGCCCCCTTTGGACAAGACTGCATCACCACAGACTTTAACAATGGGTTTGTCCCAAGAGTTTTTGATCGAGCCCAGGAAGTGAGGGGTTTTGCTATTGTTCCCCAGAAGTGTAAGTTAAACAGCACCCAGCAGTGGAATTCTTTCTGGCGCAAAGTGTGGCTTGCATTGACTTAATAACTGTGTTTCTTTTTTTTATTGTACAGGAAAAATCAATGTGAGATCTTAGTTACAAAAAGTCACCTGTGGCCAGATAGGACTGGAAGCTACTGAGTCTAAACAAGATCTCTAAAACGGGACATTCAGAACTAAACGGCAGATCCTCAGCTGGTGTAAACTGAGATAGGTTCTTTGAAGTCAATGGAGCTATACAAATTTATACAAGCTGTTGACTGGTTCTAAATGTTTAATCTGAACGGAAGAGTGTCAGCCCAGCATTTCTGAAGAAGCTGTAAGTATTATCAGAACACAAAGGTAAGTTTTAGGATACAGTCTGGTGGACACAAACAATTATACATCTTCCAGATATTGCTACCTAACCCCTCTTTAAGTCTATTTTTCATTATTCTCTGTGTTAGGCAACCTTAAATACCCATAGTCTATACTTGGTCAAAATGTCTCCAGAACATTCTTAAAATAAAATACAGAATTAAAATCAAAATCTGCCCCCCCCCCCCAAACAGACAAGTTAGCATGTGTTCCTTCTGCAGCTTTCTACACTGGTTTTGGATTCCTGGAACTTGCCTCATCCATACTGAAAACCCCAATGCTATTTCGTTGTAACAAATTAGCAGTTTTACATAAACCCCAAGCAAAGCAAATGGCATTCATAGCCTCTTTCATTTATGAGCTCTGGAAAAAGAAACAACTTCCAGCTATGTCAATTGTTAAATTACTCACTGAGCAGGTGGGACTGCACCCTCTGTAAAGGATTCGCTCTTTGTAGACTGGACGGAGTGATGGCGTGTGAAGTTAAGGGACACATTTGTAGGGCTAGCAGGAGTTGCACACACCCGTCACCCAGGTGATGTATGTCTACTTAATCAAGAAATTATTTGCGCCTGTTGTACCAATAATCAAGCCTATCTTTAAAACATCTAAAAAGACAAATCAACTAAGCTAAAGTGTCCTCTTTTGCATCCTTTGTAAGTTAGATGCCTCCTATCCTTAAAGGTAAAACCAGCACATAAAAATACTGCCTCTGGCAATTGTCAGTTAAGGATCCTAAGGATTAAATCCAACTTAATACATGATTTGGAGGTATTAAAAAGATCATTTTTTAGATTGATTGCCTAAGGATCTACATTAAAAAACAAAATCCATGCTGTAAATACTGCTGCCCGCTATTCATGGTTCAAGGTAAGGAGCTTTTAAAAATGGAAGAGACATGCACCTGGCAAGGAAAGGAAAGAAAACCACTTTGATTTACATTTGAAAAAAGCAGGAAGACACGACTCTACATATTCAAAGAAATAGTTTAAATAGAGAAGCAGTTACACTCATGGACTAGCAGACACGCAGACACAGACAAAACCTGCTGAATACACGGATATCCTGCACCTTTCTTTATTAAACTGTTCCTGAAAACACACTATTAGTAGCATGACTAAGTTAAGGTGTGGTTCAGTGTACAGCAGAGTCACTGTATGCATGTACCACATACATACAGTACGCAATTTAGGATTGCTAAAGTTATCATCTAGCAGTGCATACAACAGAATGACAGCTGCTTAAAACAGGGCTCAACAACAAAAACGAGGCACAGAAGAAGCATGCATTCCCCTTACCTATTGCTTATGTTAAAACACTGATCAGTGTCTTACAGAGACCAGGTATTTCGACCTAACGGGCATATGACTTTCAGCACATGCACCCAGACTATTGCAAAAGCCATCTTCTCCCTGTCTGTTAGCACACTGTAAGTCTCCAGCAGCTCAGCTCTCCAGCTGCAAACATCTCATTAGACTAATGCATTCAGCACAGGCAGAAAACTCGATTTACCATAGCTACAGCAATGAATTTCCATTACGATGACAGCTTCAACCACATCATGTCCGGAAAACCAGCCAACCACTGCCTTTTAAAGAACACACACATTTTACACGCAGAAAATGAGGCCTGTGTGTTGTTTCCTTTCTCTTAGCAGCTAAACTAAGAAAAAAAAAAAGCCATTTATTTATTTATTTATTTAAAATCCATACAAACGGAAAGGTGATGGCACTTTCACTTTTTTAATAATAATGTCTCTGGCAATAACATTAATCATATTATGATGATCAGAATGGGTGTTTGCAACATTTCTGTTTTAACTACCCTCCTCTGTTGCCATAGAAACCAGACTGTATCATCATCTCTTTGTCCCGATCATGCGGCAATGTGGTCCAATATTGAGCTTACACGATACCACAAACCTGAAGGATGAGTTGTTTGACTTTTGGTAATTAAAACAGAGATCAATGATTTGGTGCTGCAGATATTTCAGTTAATGATGCTACGTGCACGGGAATAGCTTTATACACACACACACACACACACACACACACACACACATCTAGAGTGTGGAGAATAGCTGTTCAATACTATAGAGACGCACAGAAAACTATATTCACAGTACATGAAAATATTGGGTTATGATCAGCATAACATTGTACTTTGTCAGGATAAGGGAGTTGCTTTTCAGGGCATTTGGATTGTAAATGCTTTCAAGAAGGAACCGCATCCTTGTTTATTTTGCACGGCATTGAACACAATGGTGCTCAAAAAAAACCCTGTAATAAATACAATAAATAATTATCATAATCCCATCACGCTCCATTGCCTTGTCTGTGCTAGATAACATTATACTAGTAAAGGGGCTGTTTGGTTGTTTAAAAGTGTTGCAAAGCTCCCTACTGTCCACTTCACATACTTGCATACATTGCTTCTAAGTATTTATTACAAGCCAAAATGTACAGCTTACCAATATTAGGGCTATTCACGTGAATGCGTCTGTGGGTACATGTGATGAGCTTGATTGTGGTCTCACTTATACTGGTTTCACACTGGGGTAACTTCACTGATTTCAGTGAAGTCACTTCTGATTTACAACTGCGTACACTGAGATCAGAATTGAACCCAATATATTTACGAAGCAACGGATAGAAAGAGAAAAAAAAACAAGAAAAATTCCACTCGTACGAGTAAAAGCAGGAGGCCTAAGTCTTGACGCTTGATGTTCATGCATGACATGTTAGCGAAACAGGACTCTTTTTTTTAAAGAGTTGGCTAGAATTGCATTCATCTGACATACAGCTATTAATCAACGATCTGCAGGTAAGATGAGACATTTCAACCCACACCACTAATTCCCTGCATGAAGAATTGTGTGTGATATTAGTATTAGTGTGATTAGTATGGTATTTTTCCTTATTTGTTTAAAAATATACTTCCAGAAACCTTGGTATCTCAAAAAAAAAAAAAAAAAAAAAACGGGAAAGGGAAGAGATTGCGTATTGACGAGGCTGTTAAGCCCAACAGATGCAATGCTGCATTTCTTGCCCGTATTGCTGAAGTCAACAGGAGTTCTGCGTGTAAGGAGTGTCATCAGACAAATCTGACCTACCTTTCTCCCTCCCATATATTTGTTTATGAAGCCCATGTGATTTACATGTGTGTGTGTGTATATGTGTTTAACAAGAGTAAAGCCAAGTTCCTCTCAGCTAAGTGTTTATGGCAGCTGGGGATCAGGTCCTAAATTTACTTTTTTCTCTCTGCTATTTGAAAAAGAGCAAAAGCAAAGGCAGTACACACCTGAGTACCCCTACAGTTAAAAAACAAAAACAAAACAAGGGAAAACTGATAACCTATGCAGATTTCAATTTCAAGTTTCCAATAGTTTAAACAATAACAATTATTAGTGATCAAAAAATATCTTGACCGGGTCTTTTTAAAGACCCTTCCTTTTCTTCTAATCTGTTAAAATTTTGAAGCATGAATCTCAGACATCCCTGTCTTTTTACATTTTCCTCAGCAAATGTGTTGTCGTGGCTTGTCATGTCCAGTTATGTCAATCATGTCATATGATGTTACCAATGCGATCTAACATGAGCAGTTGACACAGCAGCACAGCACCAAGACATCAGCCTGGACTGTTTGTTTGTTTTTAATTGCTATTTTCCAACACTAAAAAAGTTTGTTCATTTTTTAATTTAGGGCCAAATGTTGTAGTCTTTAAATAGAGCAAAACTCTCATTGATTTCAGAGGAAGGTTTGCTTGATGAAGGATCCCAGAATTTGCTCAGCTAACATCTTCATGGTCCAGTGAGAGGCTTTGGCCCTAGGAATTTAAAACATCCAGATATTATGAAAGGCAACATAAGTTATAAACAAAAAGGAGGGTAAGATATTGTGGAAAAATGGCCAAAGTGTTAAAAATAGATGAACTCAGCTGCATGTCCAGATTTTGATCATCACAGAACTGGAATGGGGGCCTGATTCAGGTGTGGGGTTCTGGGTTGGTCCATTATTAAGAGATGGACTATTTGTAGAGTTGAGACCTGAGTTTGAATTTCAACCTAATCCATCCTCAAAGATGAGGGGGTTTGTACCCAACATTCTGGTTCTGAGCCAAATCTAATTTACAACCAAACTTTTGTGAGTAGTCGGTAAACAAACCTCCGTACAGCGAGAATGCATTTTAAAAAAAAGCAGGTTTGTTTAAGAATCTGGCACATCATTAATTTTCATTAGTAAAGTAGTTACATTTCTATTCTCCACAGCTGTATTTGGGCTGAATGCACACACTAGGAGCTGCATGAACGCAGCGGATGTCAGTACAAAACTGTACAAAAGATAGTGTGTTCTATGACATTCCATAGGATTTTCCATAGGGGAAGGATACTGTAGTTTTGCAACCCTGTCTTTTATGGTCAGCTTCTATTCACAATGGAAAGAAGCCTGTTCTGTCCATTAAATAACTGGGTGTTCTCTGCTCATTTTGTTTTACCACTTCTCCTCTGGTTACATTGCCTCCTGTTCTGTGCTGTGTGACTAGTATGTTTTCAAAGAGGTTCCCATACAGCCTTTTAAAATGTCAGGTTCAACTTGCTCTCACATGTTTATGTGAACACACATTTGGTTACATGTTTGCACATACACAGACTTGTGCATGCATACCTCATGTACACATGCCTCATGAGTCTTTCATTATGTAACTACAGTGAAGAACAGCTCCAACATGGGAATGGGGAGAGAAAGCATGCATGGAATGATTCAAAACCCTGTTAGTTAGTTAGAGCACTCACCTGGGAGGATCCAGTCCCCCCCGCCAAAGAATTTTTTATTTAGGCACCGTGGAACTGCTTCACCGGGAGAGACTGAGGGACCCCCATGGAGGAAGATCCCATAGCCCACTGGTTAGGGCACTCACTAGGCAAGTGGTGGATTTCTGTTCAAATCCCTCGCCCCTTCAGGTGGAGAGAGGACTTGAACCTGACCTTTCCCACATCCCAGGTGCATACCATAATCACTGGGCTTAAAGTAATGAGTGCAGTCCCTCTCCCCCATCTCCCAGGCATAGGCACCAACACCAAGGGAGGGTTTGTAGTTGAGAATCCCAAATAGAGGAGCGGGGGGAATCTCCCTCCAGCCTGGATTTAGATGCCATCTCGGAGAGGGGTGGGGTTCAGCACATACCCTTTGGCTTGGCATCTCCCACTGGCTAACTTAGATGACAAGCCACCTCATGTGCTGGCTTCTGTGACTCCCATTCTGATTTAGGTGTCTATAGTGAAGGGAGCCTCGGCGCCTAACTCGGGCTTTGAGAACCCCAGGGCTTTTCAGGTGCCTAGAAGTGAGGCGTGGTGACACTGCGTGGCACCAAGCCTACGTCGCTGTGTGAATCTCGCCCTATGGGCCTGATCCACTGCCCACTCGACTCAGCAGGAGGCTTTCTATTGACTCCAGTGAGCTTTGGATCACACCCTATATTAGCGAAGGGCTTTATTACCTGAAATGTAAACCTTCTCCATCTCAGGGCAATTCAGCTTTTAAAAATCCAGATTCTTCTAGGTGGATTAGCACCAGGGTCGGTGAGCCAACCAAAGCCAAGCCTGGCACATATGGTCACTCTGTGCAGTAAATATACCAGATGCATTGATCATTCTCTCACCGCCCTCCTCCCCCCTGGCATTCCATTTATCACAGTCCCTCTGGATTTGCTTTGCACCTATTATTTTGTATTGATTTTTTTTCAGCCTCCCCTCTGCTGCTCTCCTTCACAATCTCTTCCAAGCAGAAACAAACCCAAGAACTTGTGAACTGAACTTTCAAAGCAAATGATGGAAAAATGGAGGCAGAGGAAGGCTAAGTGAATTACCCCGAGATGCAGAGGGGGTTAGCACTACAGCCAGGATTAGAATTCAAGAGTTCGTGGATCACAGGCCAGAACCCAGACCACACCTGCCTCCAAGCGACAGCCAAACCACTGGCCTAGGAAGAGGCATAAACCATCTGATTAGATGGATTGGGGCTGTTTTGTTTATTTCTCTTCAAAGCATTTGGGTATTTTTTCCATGCACTAGAATAAAACCTTATAAACCCTTGCATCGCCACATCTTAAATTTCCACTACCACTAATAATACTCCTCTTCCTGCCTCCCACCCGCACCAAGCCAATTATTTTTCACCAGTAATATTGAACATGATTATAACTATGTTTGCCACCTACCTGTATTTGTCCTGCAAAACAACACCTTGCTGAATTGGATCTTACATGTATACTATATATACACAATATGCTTAGGACTTTGATCAGATGAAATTCTTTACTTTTATCTATTCCAGGCAGAAGAAATGTCAACAAAATTAATGAACTCCTGCAGATTATCATTTTATTTCAGACATTACACTGTAATTTAAATAATTCTTTAAACAATTACATTCAATTATCTTAAGATTTCAATGGAATTATAAAGCATCTGCGATAAGTCA